AACTTTCAAGTAAACCAATTAATTTACAATGTATTGGGATTTTATTTTTTTTTAGCAAAGATATGTAGCAGAATACATTTTGGTCTAAATTTATGACGAAATTTGATTTTTTTTTAATTTTTTTTTTTTACTGGACATGTTTAACCACTTGCCGACCGCGCATAGCCGAATGAACCGCGGCCGGCTAGTTCTGGGTGGACGTCATATGACGTCCTCCCAGAACGCGCTCTCCTGCGCGCCCCAGGGGCGCGCACCCGGCGATCTCCGTGATCGCATTGTGTTGATCACGAGATGTGGTGAAAGGCCGATCCCACCGGCCTTTTACCACGTGATCAGCGGTGTCCAATGACACACTGACCACAGGAAAATGCAAGTGCCGGTTCTCGGCTGCACTTTCCTCACGCTGTCAGATCGTGAGGAAAGTACTGCCGAGAACCGGCAGTTGTCAGAGCGGGGATCGGCACCGATCATCAGGGCACTGATGATCAGTGCCCTGATGATCGGTGCCCAGCAGTGACCCCCGCAAGTTCCTCCCAGCAGTGCGCCCACTAGCCCCGCCCACCCATGCCCAGCAGCAGTGCCCCCACCTGTGCCCAGCAGTGCACCCACCTGTGCCCACAGTGCCCCCACCTGTGCCACTCTGCAGTGCCACCTACCTGTGCCCAGAAGTGCCACCTACATGTGCCAGCAGTGCCACCCACCTGTGCCCACCCACCTGTGCCCACCAGTGCCACCCACCTGTGCCCACCAGTGCCACCTACCTGTGCCCACCCACCAGTGGTGCCCACCAGTGCCGCCCACCAGTGCAGCCCAGCAGTGCTGCCAGTCAGTGCCACCAGTCAGTGCCCAGGGGTTGTGCCAGTCAGTGCCGCCAGTCAGTGCCCAGAAGTGATGCCAGTCAGTGCCGTCTATCAGTACCCATAATCAGTGTCACCTATCAGTGCTGCATATCAGTGCCGCCTATCCGTGCCACCTCATTAGTACTGCCTATCAGTGCCCTTTAGTGCTGCCTATCAGTGCCCATCAGTGCCGCCTATCAGTGCCCATCAGTGCCGCCTCATCAAACGCAAATCAGTGAAGAAGAAAAAATACCTGTTTTTTATAAAAGAAACAAATAAACTTTTTGCACTTTTTTTTAATTTATAGCGCAAAAAGTAAAGCGCCCAGTGGCGATTAAATACCACCAAAAGAAAGCTCTATTTGTGAGAAAAAAATGATCAAAATTTCATATGGGTACAATGTTGCATGACGGCGCAATTGTCAATCAAAGTGCGGCAGCGCTGAAAGCTGAAAATTGGCCTGGTAAGGAAGGGGGTATAAGTGCCTGGTAGGCAAGTGGTTAATAGCAAAAAGTCAAAAATACAATTTTTTTTTTTTCAAAGTTGTTGGTTTTTTTTGTTTATAGCACAAAAAATAAGAACCGCACAGGCGATCAAATACCACCAAAAGAAAGCTCTATTTGTGGGAAAAAAAGGACATAAATTTCACTTGGGTGTAGTGTTGCATGACCGTGCAATTGTCAGTTAAAGTAACGCAGCGCTGTATCACAAAAAATTGCCTGGTCAGGAAGGGGGGTAAATCCTTTGGAGGGCAAGTGGTTAAGGTTTAAAAAGGCCTTTAGCATTTAGAAACACTTTAAAATAAAGGAAATATAAAGTGTGAAGAAAGAAAACTAATGCAGCCACCACATTTTGTGCTGAACGCCATGTGCTGTATGTCTGCCATTTCCTTTATCTAAGGGAAGACTAATGATGCTTAGCTTGCAATCACAGACACATTCCCTTGTGTTACCAATCATGGCTCTTACTGCTGAGGACAGTGACTCCGCTGATGGCGTTTTGCTCTATGCTCTGAAAACCCTTAAAACTCAAGATAAATGTGTGACTCATTAATAGAAGATTGTGGCAAAAAGATGACACATAACAGGATTCCACAAAGTACATAATGATTGATTGAGCTGCCTGGCAGCATCCTTTAGGCACATTTTACAGTGTCTGTTTACTGCTGTGGTTTCTTTTACGGAACAATCATTATTGCTTTTATTTTTCATTCCCTTAAAATATTCCTCTGTTTGTCTGCAGTACAAAAATATTGATCTAGAATTATGAGTTGCATTCACTAACCTTAATAAACCCATTAAAAACCCCAACTGTGCTTCTAACAAGTACATTTCCAGTTTCATAATAATGTATAATAATACCATGTAATTGTGTAATGCCTTAGTTGAATTGTTGTCACTGCAGAAATAAAAATGTTATAACCATATAATTATTTTATGCAGCTGAGAACTTCATATTTCCATTCTGGTTAACTTTGACTAGAGCGTGAGCAATTGTCTATAAAAAACAGTATATTGATAGGCAAATTACTTTAAATGCTGTTCTATATTTCCTGTAGATAAATTGCCATTCAAATTAATTAAGGTCAGTAACACTGAAGTACATTCTTAAAGCATTTCTACATCCAAATGCAAACAAGTAATTGTATTGCAATTTACCAACTCCTAGATGTGGAAGCTGCATTACTTTTTTTTTTAAGGCCTCGTTCACACCATGCATGCAGAAAAAGTGATGGGAACTGACACACAGATTTCACTTACAAAGACATCCGTTCTCATGCGTGCTCCAATGAGTTTTATAGAGTTTTGCAGATTCCTGCGCAGAAAAATCTGCATGTGATACTAGTGTTGTGGTGTGAACAGGGCACATACACTCACCAGCCACTTTATTAGGTACACCTATTTGATTGCTTGTAACCCAAATTGCTAATCAGCCAATTACAATGCAGCAACTCAATGCATTTAGGCATCTAGACGTGGTGAAGACAACTTGCTGAAGTTCAAAACGAGTATCAGAATGGGGTAGAAAGGGGATTTACTGTAAAGTGTTACTAAACTCACAACAGTAAAATCAGTCTGTATATGCAGTAATGCATGCTTGTTATACTCACTGTGGAACCTAAGGAATTAATCCTCTGCATTTTGTAAAAAGAATGTTTGATCCTGTCTTTACTGTCCCCAAGCTATCTGCTGATAGAACAGAGCCTTGGGGCAAGCTGCACATGCTCAGTTTGGTGTGTATTGCTAGAGAGTTTTGTTTTTCCTTGGAAGATTGCATGTGATCAGCACAGGGCCAATCAGTACTGTACAGACAGAGGTCAGGAGTTCTGTATCTTCCTAGAGCTGAATGAAAACTCCTCCTACAAGCTTTAACATGTGCTCGGCTAGACACTGACAGAAGTCACAAGACTGCTCTAACTGCTGATGAAAAAAGGTATTTAGCAGTTTACATTTACTAAAGTAATTGAATTTCCATGTTGTGTGTGCTGTGGGAGACCAGATATAGTGGTTAAAGGATAAGCTCACCTTTGGAACATGTTACATGTTCCATCCATTTTTAGGGTGGAACATGTAACATGTTCCCATAGTTTCAGCCGCACCCGCCACCCCCCTTCCTGTGACAGATAGTACGAGGACACTTCTCCCCATACTATCTGTCAAATTTGTGAAAACAGTGCGGCTGTGCGAGACTTCCGTGAATGAATGAAGTTGTGACAGCCTTAGTGGCCATGGGCTTGTAGTTGTCAATGAACTACCACAGTGGTGTGGATCGCCGTGGTAGTTCACTGAAGCTTCCTGTCAGTATATCTGCTTGTACATCCTGTACGGCAAGCAGATATTCTGACAGGTCTGCAATCTACTGATCGCTGGTCCAATGCTTTTCAGACTCCTTTGGACAAAAATAATAAATGCACATTTTTTTACCTACAGCCGCTCCCTCCCCTCCACAGCCTAGCACTTCAGTGAGCACTCCACTGACTGATAGCCACCACTCTCTGATCACAGCAGCGGTTATGTGATCGCTGAGTTCTCACACTTAGAGCTGGCAGGGGACAGATGCAGCATCAGACCGATACTGCATCCACCTAGGTAAATATGATTTGGAGAAAAAAAGCCAAACTTCTCTTGTAACTAAAACTGAGAACAATATATTGCAGCCGGGAAATTCTTGAATGTGGTGGTTGCATTACTTTTCTTTTTTCAGGCTACTTTTTTTATTTTCACCTGGTGATGCTGCCAAGTAACGCACTTCCTTTTCTAGAGTGACAGCACTCACTCACTGGACTGTAATTTTGGAGGAACAAAGAAGGACCAGAAGTGTATTTGGACTACAGAACATCTCTCACTGTCCTCATCGGCATGAAATGAGGGTGGGGGAGTCTGTAAGCAACAGTGAGAATTGGGAACAATGCTAAGTATAAAAGCTATGTAAATACTTTTGTTCCCATCATATTGCTATACAATCCAGTGACTGCAAAGCTATGGCTCCATGATGTGCAGACAACAGAGCAGACGGTGAGGTCAGCTACCGATGTCTCTTGTTCTGGGTGTTGATGGAGCAGGATATAGTTTCCTCTCACCAACCGCGCATCACGCAAAGTGGCTGGGGCATTGTGGTCACATGATAGCATAGTTAAACAAGGAAAAAAGGTATTTGTCTATTGTTCTGTTCTTAACCACTTGCCTATCGGGCACCTTTACCCCCTTCCTGCCCAGGCCAATTTTCAGCTTTCAGCGCTTTGCACTTTGAATGACAATTGCATGATCATGCAACACTGTACCCAAAAAATGTTTTAATAATTTTTATGAGACAGAGCTTTCTTTTGGTGGTATTTAATCACCACTGGGTTTTTTATTTTTTTGCTAAACAAACTAAAAAAGACTGAAACTTTTGAAAAAATAAGTTTCTGTTATAAAATTTTGTAAATAAGTAATTTTTCTACTTCACTTCACTGATGTGTGCTAATGAGGCTCCAGTGATGGGCACTGATAGGCTGCACTGATGGGCACTGATAAGCGGCAATGATGGCAATTGACAGGTATCGGCACTGACATGCATCACTGGTCGGCATTGACAGGCATCACTGATGGGCACTGAAAGGCAGCACTCATATATGGCACTGATAGGCGGCACTGACTGGCACTGATAGGCGGCACTTATCGGAACTGAGGTGGCACTGATGGACACTGATAGGTGGCACTGATGGGCACTGATAGGCGGCTCTGACGGGCACTGATAGGCGGCTCTGACGGGCACTGATAGGCAGAACTGACTAGCAATGATAAATGACACTGAAAGGCAGTTCTGATGGGCACTGATATGTGGCATTGATGTGCACTGATATGTGCCATTGATGGGCACTGACCGGTGGCAATTATGGGCACTGACAAGTGGCACTAATGGGGCTACACTGATCATCAGGGCACTGATGATCAGTGTAGATGTCCCCTCTGAGGAAACCGCTTACTGCCTCTCCTCATGCGCTGTCAGCGTGAAGAGATAACCAGCATTTCCTATTTAAATGCAATCAGCTGTGATTGGACACAAGTGATCACATGATGGAGCCTATGTCATCGGCTCTTTACTGCAATTGGTGATCCGCTGTGTTCCAGGCACACAGCGCACCACCAATTGCCATGTGGCGCACCCCCGGGGGCGTGCATGTGCAGCTAGAGTGGGAGGACGTCGTATGACATCCTTCCAGAATGAGAGAACCGCCACCCTCTTGTCATTTTCTTATATGGCAGGCAGGAGGCGGTTAAAGTGATTGTCAACCCTTACATATACCCAGGTAAGTGACTGACCTCAGGTGATGCACAGAGATGAATCAAATCCTCCTTAAGTTGTATCTGTTTATCTGCAGTTTCTCTCCTCTTCATCTGTTCATAGTGCAGAATGTATAAAGCTTGTCTGAAAGTTCAGAAAGTAGGGAGCGGAGAGCTGAAATTACACTCTGCAGAGCTCTGAGAGCTGATTGAAGGGAAGAGACACACTCACCTTCACACAGCTCACAGGAACAGAACTGAGGCTGTCAATCAGCTGGAGGTCCCTCCCCTGTCACCATTATTCTCTTGGTGTCAGGAAAATTTTTCAGAAGTGATGCAGATAGCAGAGGAGTAATGCAGCAGGCAAAAATGACACGTAGTGCTCGGGATAGAGGCAAGTACACACTATAGAGTCATATGCTTTTTTAATTTAATGTCTGAGGTTTACAACCACTTTAATTGTATGCAGGGTGACTGTGGCAGTGGGGGCAGCAGCATTTAAAATGTGAATGTTATATAGCCTGAGCTTCTACTTTAAATAGAACCATGTGATATGATAAAAAAATGTGTAATACCCCATATCAACTCAATATAATTACATAATAGTGTCTCTGACTGTTTCACAATATGCCTTGCATTTTCTTTTAATGAGTGTCTTGTGGAGCCACCATATTTGATTATTCTTATGATTGCATGGAGAGAGAATATTCCCTCAGCTACAAAGTCTTGGGAGAATTTACAACCACAGATGTTAGTGTATAACCAGAGCTCAGGAGGGGAGAGCTTACTGACATCACATGCCCAGCAGACCAGGAAAATGGCAGTATTATTATTTGGGAAATCTAGATCTAGGAAAGAAATATACCGTGGTTAATGTTTTCACCCTATTTACTTTTCATAGTTATATGGGCAAAAAAATTATGTTGCTATAATGTAATTTCTTTCATGAAAGATCCACTTTAAATCAGACCTTTTCCCCCCAAACCTAAAAAAGTGCATGCAGATCTGGATGTTGAACTGAAAACACATTTGGGGGAAATCATAATGGGTGTCACAGACACCTTTTAGAATTCCGTTTGGTCATCCCACCAGAATTGTTGGTGCTTATTCCCCATTCATGTACCTTTCAGCAACAAGTACATGAATCTATTGGAGTTCTGCAGTGATGCCGATTCCCTGCCCTGCCACTGCTAGACACATTACTGTGGATTGGCAGCGAATGGTAGTGAGCACTGGTGTACCACTCTGAGCACTGGTGTACCACTCTAAGCACTGGTGTACCACTCTAAGCACTGGTGTACCACTCTGAGAACTGGTGTACCACTCTGAGCACTGGTGTACCACTCTAAGCACTGGTGTACCACTCTGAGCACTGGTGTACCACTCTGAGCACTGGTGTACCACTCTGAGCACTGGTGTACCACTCTAAGCACTGGTGTACCACTCTGAGCACTGGTGTACCACTCTGAGAACTGGTGTACCTCAATACTCCAGCTCAGAGCTGGTCTTAGTTACTGCCAGTTTCCTGTTCTGCAAACTGATGGTAGATCTTTAAGAATCTGTTATGCTATAGCAGCGGTTCTTAAAGTGCCAAATGTCGATAATCTTACTGATTGTTAAAGTGTTACTAAACCCACAACAGTAAAATCAGCCTGTATATGCAGTAAAACATGCTTGTTATACTTACTGTGGAACCTAAGGGGTTAATCCTCTGCATTGTGTGTAAAAAGGCTGTTTGATCCTTTCTTCTCTGCCCCTCCTCTTGATCAAATGTCCACATCTTATCTCCTGATAAGAGACTGAACCTGTAGCCCTACTGTACATGCTCAGTTTAGTGTGTTTTGCTAGAGAGGTTTTTTTTTTTCTTGGGAGAGTGCATGTGATCAGCACAGGACCAATCAGCACTGTCCAGACAGAGGTCAGACTAGAGCAGAATGAAAACTCCTCCTATTTTAACCAGTGCTCAGCTGAAGTCACAGAACTGCTCTAACTGCTGGTGGGAAGAGGTATTTAGCAGTTTATATTTACTAAAATAATTGTATTTCCATGACGATGAAATAAAGTGCAACAGCGCTAGGTGTCTAATAATTATTCAAGTAGATAAGTGTGTGGGTTATTGAAATAATTAGTTGAGCTGCTGGCATAGAAAGTAAACCTCAAAAAAAACTTTGGATAGTATGTCATAAAAATATGCAGCGCTCATAAATTAGAGATTAACCAGATCTCATATATTAAAGAAACCTGATCGCATATAATGAATCTGAATTAGGTAAAATTCATAATAAAATGGAAACCGTTCAGAGAGGTGTTGCACCAGGTGGATATATGTATACACACAAACACATGAACGTGGGGTATATAGTTGATGAAGAACCCGTCATATATGTAGTATAACCATGTATTTAAAACAAACTCATACTACACAATATGTCAATGGGTCCTAAAAACAGAAATAAAACACTGTGGAATAATACCACTAAGGCATAGCAGATTATTATATAAATTATGTCAGAAAAAAATCAACGTCTATATATACATAAACGCATGTGGCCACAATATATACATAAAAGATTCAGATAAATGCATATAGTTAAAATGAACTAAAATAAAGTATAAAAAATCCACTGTAATGGACAATGATAAAGATGCGAATAGAATAAAATCCACATAGCAAAACGCATCAATAAACAATAAATATATAAAAATATATAAATTGTTATATACTAAAAAATATATATGAAAGCTAAAAAATGACCGACTCAATAATAAACTTCATAAAGAGAGCATTAAAAGAGCAACCAAACCTCACAAAAAACGAACTGACAAAAACGCATGTCATAAAAATGTATAATAAAAATTGTAATAGAATGCAGATTAACTAGTATCGATAAAACAATTGATGTCCAGCTCAATATTAAGGCCTAAAGGGGATGATGTATGTAATAAATAGATCCATTTTGTTTCTAACCTAGAGACTGCTCTTCGTTTATGGACTCCTCTCCAGTGTCTATGGACTGTATCAATGCCAATAAATTTAAGGGAATGTGGGTCCCGATTGTGTTGTTGGCGAAAGTGCATAGATAAAGAGTGTTCTTTAAAACCCTTCTTTATATCTGTGAGATGTTCACGTAGCCTGTCTCTTAATCTCCTGGTGGTCCTGCCAATGTACTGTTTTCCGCAGGAACATTCAAGGAGATAAACAACGTGGAGGCTATTACATGTGATGGTAGAGTCTATCGTGTATTGTTTACCAGTAGAGCGAGAGCAAAAAGTAAAAATGGGTGTTTTGTGAATGCCATTATAGACACATAACATGCATCGGTTGCATGGGAAGAAGCCTTTTCGATTAAAAAACTTAAGCTGTCTCGGTGGGTTTACCACATTTGGAGCAAGTTTATTCCTAAGAGAAGAAGCTCTCCTATAGGTGATTTCTGGTAGGTCAGGTAACGAGCTACCTAGTACTGGGTCACTTTTGAGGATACACCAATGTTTTTTAATGATCTTGGCTACATCTTTGTACTGGGCAGAGAAATTAGTAATGAATGGACAGAACCTATTGTCCTTATTTGTATTTTTATTTATTTGCCCAGTAGAGAGAAGCAACTCTCTATTGGTGTTCTTAACATTATTAATTTCTGTCTGTAGAGTGTTACTATTGTAGCCTTTTTCCACAAACCTCTTTTTAAGGATATTTGATTGTTGGATGAAATCCTCAACATTATCACAGTTGCGACGAACCCTAAGGAATTGGCCCCTAGGTATGTTGTTCAACCATCTAGGAAGATGACAACTATTTATTGGAATAAAACTATTCCGGTCGGTCTGTTTAAAGAAAGTCTTTGTAGATAACCCTGTACCATTATTAAAAATGTTTAAATCTGAGAAATTAATTTCCTGAAAATCATATTGGAAGGTCAATTTGATGTTATTAGTATTGTAGTTCAAGGTTGTGAAAAAATTTGTCAGGGAAAATTCATCCCCATCCCATAATAAGAAAATATCATCGATGTACCGACAATATAAGCAGTGATGTGGCCAGTCCCTGGAGTAGATGATCTCTTCCTCCCAATAAGCCATAAATAGATTGGCAAGGCTCGGCGCAAACTTTGCACCCATTGCAACTCCGGTGATCTGAAGATAATAATTATTGCTAAACCAGAAGTAGTTATGACACATTGCAAATTTGAGAAGATCTAATATAAAACATTTCTGTAATGGGGGGACATCCGCAGCACCCTTCAGGTAATAATCAACAGCTTGAAGTCCATCCTCATGTTTTATGTTGCTGTAAAGGGCAGAGACATCCGCAGTTACTAAATAAGTTGGTTTAGTCAATCTAATGTCCTTAATGACAGATAACCTCAAGCTTAAATAACTATATGCCAACTATATGCCCTTTGTATACAGGTTCAGTGTCCCCTCCTTTATTATGTGCTAGACGCTCTACAGACTTAATGTCCCCAGCTGTATCCATTAACATGGGCTTCTGGCTTCTTCTGTCCATCTGCACTGTTCCTCAAGAAAATGGCCGCCGTATGAGCGTACTGCGCATGCGCGGCTTTGCCGCAATGACGTCATCGATGCATACTGCGCATGCGCACCGCGGACTATAAAATAGATCGTTTTTTCTGCAATGCACCCCCTTTGAAAACGTGTGTGTGACACGAAACGCGTCAGAGAGGTGCCCCCCCACTGTCTGGACATACCATTTAGCTGCCGCATGTTCCTGTGACCAATATTTGTAAGTGTGTTTTTTATCATTTGAAATTACTACGGAAATAAATACAATACTTCACTATCAAAGCTTCTGGCCTGTGGCTCTCTTTTTTGGAGGGAGCCCGGGCTTTTTGAAGGTGCCTGGTTCCTCTTGG